GGAGATGAATGAATTTCGCCTAGATATAGTGACTTGTTGTAAGTCTCTGTACTCCGAATTCGATGAAATGATGATCAGAGATCGAAGGGTGTTGACTAACTGTCCAGTCACGAACTGAAAAATAAATGCTAGATGTAACTAAAGTTATGTCTGGCCGCCTTAGGGTCCTGATAGTCAAGAAGCTTGGAGAACTATCGCTTGAATCAATTATAACGAAGTTGTTCGATGTAATAAAATCAAGCAATGGTATTGTTCGTTTATTTTCTTCTGGGGCTCCCCAAAATGAGCTCCCAAACGTTGAGATCGTTTGCAATTATAATTATGTTCTCTTTCGAGGAGAAAGTCAATATTTGCTAGAGTTCTGTGAGTGCGGACATAATCTCATGATATGGGGAAATATATACACTCATATACTAGCATACGTATGCAATGTACGCATTTTCTTAAAACTAACTCGGATACTCGCATGTTAACTGGCATCCCCCAGTCATCAGTTAGCGCTTTCCAGTTGCTGCAGTTTATCCCATGTGAGGATTCGGCGAGTGAAGAGTAGGATAGACTTTGAAAGCTTGAAAAGAAAAGAAGAGGCACATTTTCTTCTGAGCTCGATACATTCTTTGAGTAGGGAAGAGGTGGAACTTAGAAGGTGAGTTAACTTGGTAATCGTATCAGCAGGAAGAGTTCGACAAACATTAGTTACGGAGCTGAGCTGGCTGTTGGTCTTGGAAGGGGAAGGTCATCAGTAGTTGTAGCCGGAGCGAAGGATATCACATGATACAAGGAGACGAATCATCTCGCAACAAGAGGGAACATTTAATTTATGAACTTAAAGTCAGGGACTTGTGCTAAATCTAGAGGCAGTTTCAATTCTTTTCTGTCGGAGACTTAACTCTTTTGCATTCATTTGCCATATCCACGAATTTTTAAAGAAAACTGCAGGTTTCTTTAATTTATAGCCATTCGTATGATAGCAGATATCAAACGTTCTCCAGACAGTGGTAGAAGATGAACGGAAGAATATTCGTTCCTATATTTAGCATCTCTTGAATACGTTGGCTAGGCCTTGTATTTTTCCTTCTGTCATACAGTTTAGGGAATTACGAGCAAATTTTTGAATGGCAAAGATGATCATCTTCACATCAAAGACACTTAGCTTTGCTTTTTCTTCGCTTGGCAAAGTATAAGTAAGGTGGTCTTGAGCACACTAAAGGCAACGCGAGCAGCTGAAACATCCGAATGGTACGTACTCAAATCTCTGACAGATGAAGTAGATAACAGGGTGATTTCCTCTTTTGTAGGATCTTACGTTCACTTGTGGAGATAAGAGCTTTCTTATATTAAATATTTTTTTTATCTTCAACAGGCCTGGTTACTTCTACAAAGAACTTAAATTTTCATCAAGCAACATTTCCATCGTGCTTTGGGCTAAACTGTTTTACTTTGGTCACTGGAATGCTAACTAGCAACAGTTCATTTCTTACGTCATTACAAGTGGTGGTTGAGGGGAAGACCTTTGATGATAGCTTTGATAGCTTTCTTCCATTGGTCGGAGATAACAGTGGAATAGGGCCGTTCCTAGAGGGGGTGCAGCGCGTAAAAGTACGCGGGCGGCGAAAATCAGGGGCGGCCGGACTCTCGCGACACCACGCCTAAATATTTTAAATTCATTGTAAGTATTTGTCATATGCAAGTACTTTTTATACAATTTGTCATATGAAAGGGCTTACTGATTGTGAAATAAAATGTTTTTTAATCATTGAGCATTTTGTTTTAAATTTGTTTGCGGCAATCTTAGGAAAGTACGCGAGCAGCCAATGGTCTAGGAACGGCCCTGCAATGGAGTACCAGTTTTCTCTAGAACAGATGCACCATCTAAATGATCGACATTCTTCCTTTTCGTTGCATTCCAAAACATTAATTCTGTGGAATCGGAAGAAATAATTTTACACTTGTGTGAGATGCCTTTCTTCGACTTAATCTATTTCAGTTAGCGGGCGGTTGTCAATATACTAAATGATTCTATGGTAAAGTTAAGTGTATTGCCCTTTAGCTGATCAAGAACCATACTGGTGTTAGCTAATTTTGGTTTATCTCTATCTTATTTAACCTCTAAGCCATGAAGGAGGAAGAACCACTGGAAAGTTACTTGAGGATATCCATAGATTCCTTATGTAGAGGGTAAATCAGTGGGAACAACGAAGTCATGAAAGCAGCTCAAAAGCCAACCTTCTCTTTATACGGTTACTCATCGAATTATAGTACTTTGCTTCAATTCAGAAAGATTTATATTTACTTCTTTAAACAATTTCCTTTCCAATTTAATCAGTAACCTCATAGATTTACTACGAAACGAACTGAATGTATTTCAAAGCAACTTTTTAAATTGTAGATATATCTTCAGAACATTACATCTTCACCGCATATTCTACTAGGAAAAAAAGGGACTACTTAAATAACATATATATTAGCAAAGATAAATTCATTTAAGAATTTCAATTTTGTTCGCACTTTTTTTGCTTATAGCAAGCAAATTATAACCAAATTTAATGGAGCTGTGCGCTGTCACGGAAAACGTGGCAACACTCAAGAGAAATCCTAACTTGAAATTTGAAATGAAATCTTAAATATGCGATGAGATACGAGTATTTAAAGCCAATAATTTTCAACTGCGTGGGCGCAAAATATATGAAATTTCTTCTTTCATAATTTGGTAAGAAATTACCGGATTTAAAATGGTTAATCTTTATGTTGATCTTGATTAATAGATTAAGTACATCACTTCTGGGCAAGAGCAACCAATATACACAGAAGATGAGTTTTGCACAGAAAAAAAGATCGGGTTACTTTGAGAGAGAAAACGCATATAGAAATGCGCGTTATTTAAAAACGGATCTCTTAAAATTTGGTTTCTATTAGGAAAAGTTTTGTACACAGTCCCCCCCCGTCGCTTGAGCAGCATCTACAGGATAAAAACTGCTTGCATTAAGCTAGGCATATGACCCTAAAGAATCACATATATAGTCCAGGATTTGAATTCAGGGCGAAATACCAGCAGTAATAATCTTAGAGCTCGGCCGCTGGTGTATCCATCTGTCTATGAAGACTTTTTGACAAGGGAAAATAAGTTGTACTTGCGTTACAGATAGGGAAAACTACAAAAATTGCCAAAATAATTGACCAGCGGAGAATCGAACGCAAATTGAACACTGCCATATATTTGTTAGGAAAAAAAATCTGCGGTCAGGAAATAAAAGTATAATATTTTAGGAAAAGAAATTAAGAAAGATTTTATGCTAGCCAATATAATTTTTATTTTTGGAGCGGTATTGCTGAATACTATTAGTTTAGTTCTGGATACGAATCTCGACGAACGTGCTGGCTGCATGGATACTCTTCTATTATCAGGACCGGATTCAGAAATGTATGTATATATATGCATGCATGATGGATGTACATGTTTAGGTATGCATGTGTATATGTTGCGTATGCATGTGTGTGTGTACTTATACACCCGTATACGCACATACATTTCTAAATCCCGTCCCGATAAAAGAACAGTACCGCTGCATGGGTGTTTTCGTGATTTTCTCCATGTGCAACGTGTATACAAGTCAGTTTCCCTAAAAACACTTCACGAAGGCAACTCTTCCCGTAGGCAGGTAGCCTTGAGGTTCTTTGCGATAGTCAAATAAACTACACTAATCAATTTTTATTTCTTCTTTACTTTTATATTATTTAAATTATGTAAGCTGGAAAAAAAAAAAAAACATTTTCTTTTACCTAAAGCAGTGGACGGAAACGCTGTTTTGAAAGGAATTGTATATTCAGCAGAAAAATATGTGCATGCGACAAATTATTAAACAGGAGGAATGAATTTGTGGAGGACTTTTGGAGGGAGACTGGCTTGTAAATCCCGTTACACATTGAGCAAATTAACCCTGCAACCAGCCCCTAGATCCAATTCGGATCGAGTTTCCAGTATTCAGAGATCTTAATCTTCCGACCATTGATGAGAAAAACTGGCTCATAATTACGTTACACTTTGAGAAACCAACTATGAAGCTATTCCATTCGAACAGAGGACGTTGTACTCGAACCATATATCCATTGTATTCGAACCTAGGACTAACTACCAGTACTCAGCGATCTTGAACGGCTTGGAAGCTGGTGCAGCCCCTATATCTCCGAGAAATAGTGCTTATAGAGTAGGCAGCTTGAAGAAAAGTTATTTCAATGTAAAACTTAGTTTTTTTCTTCTAATCGCGTATATCGGTAAATGCATACTATAAAAATGCTTTCATTCAAAGCAGAATTTTGCTTTAATTGTGGAGTCGCACAAAATTGACTTTTCAGAAAAATAGCTTTCAGATCGTGCAAATTTGCGTTGAATAAAGGAATTAAGTTACCAAATATAAAGCTATTGAAATAAATACTGAAGTTAAGGAAACTTCGATTCAATTGACCTTTCTCATTCAAAACTGCAATTAACTTTATAGACTTATTAAGTACAATTTACTATCTTATAAATTGTCAGAAAAGTGACTAAAACATATCCACCTAAATTTCGCATTCTCTACTGACGGGTTTATTTCAACGTAGGCTGCGGTAAACGCGTTCTGAGCAAAGGTACTTTGCCCCCGCCCGGTCAAGGTGCGGTCTTCGAACTTTGTGATCTTCGTTTTCACAACTAAGCCTCAGAAAGCAGCAACGAAAGTGAAGAAACGTTAGCTTTACCTGACACACGAGTTACCGACCTCCCCTCACCCCACTCCTCAATGCTAACCACCTGGGATGATGAAGAGAGAATCTTGCTTGAGTCTTAGAACTACAAGGATTTCCGACAGACTTGAGGGGTCATTTAACGCTGTACAGGAGCCCTTGACACGCTTTTCCCCAAAACTACTCACGCTTGCCTCTCGGAAGTGGGCCACTGCCGACCACGTGACTTTGATACCTCCTCCCCCATTCCCTTTTAATTCTTGAATTTACTTTCACCTGTTATCGTTTCTTACTTCAGACCACTTTCCATGCTCCGATGAACACAGATTGGTAATTCTGTCTGCTGGTTAACGGTCCCTCGTGTTGTTCTTATTTTCTTTCCGATGGGCTTGCGATTCTGCGGTCGCCAACTGGGAAGTTTGTAATTACTCGTGATCTTGAATTGGAATCATTGTTAGTAAGTAGGATAAATCTATTTTTTTCTTTCATATAGCCTGCATTCAAAAATTAATATCTAATTTTACTTTTAGTTTCTAATTTCTCGATTTAATTTGTATGAAACTTAGTAATCAGCTACTAATTTATTTGTTTCACATTTTACATCCCAGAAATGGATTACCAAAATAAGCGACGATTTTCTGTTTCTTTGAAAATTAAAATGCGAGTTCTTCTCCATGGAGTCAAAATAAAATATACATATTTTCGAGTATTTCGAAACGAACAGATGAAGTTGACTTATTATCAGTACTCAGATTTCATTAAGATAAATATTTCCTTTCCGAAATTATTTTGAAGAGATATAGCTATTTTTTCCCAATGGCGGTCACTAGTCATCATAGACATTGGCCACTGATAAGGCCATAAGAGGTGGTCACTTTATTATAGAGGCACCCAATAGGTGGGTCACTTTTGCTTCCTATGAAGGGGACGGACATTTACAACCATGCCTTCTCCGGGATTCGAACACGAGCCCTTTGCTATTGCAGTCGGCTCCTCTAACTTACCGGAGGCGGCAGATACAGTTATAATATCCTTAAAATTTTATATATAAAAAAGGCTCTATCAGTACATCTGAATACTGGTAGTTCGAGCCTTGGCGAACGGAGAACTTGCATGGTTGTTTTTCGTGCTTTTCCGTTTATATATCGTGAATAGGAGTTAGTTTGGCTCAGAAAGTCGTCAAAGAAGGCATCTCTTTTCCTAGGCAGATAGCCCTCGTATACTTTGCTGTATTCCAACAACCTAACCTAATCTATATTTTAAAAACAATGTCGTAACCTTAAATTAAAATCTGAACACATGCTGATATAAATTCGGTAGATCATTTAAGACCTTGCAAACACAGACGCCTCCGAAGCTTGTCATTTCAATACATAAATGACAAGTTGTATTTTAGAGAATAATTCCTGTTTTTAACATGTAAGAATTATTTTGAGTAATCTCATAATTATACGCAGCAGTAAATATCGCTCAGTAATTGTAGTTTTCTTCCCATGCAGCTTAGTAATGGCAGAGTGTATAAGACTTTGACACTGGTATCTCACAGTGTATTAATTCTTAGAATACGGTTAGGCTGCATGCGGTTTTCTTGGTTTTCGCCCACCAGCTATAAAATCATAAAACCGCTGAACATTAGTCAGTGTCTGAGCTCGGTTTAAATATGGTTTAGCTTATTTGATTATGACAGGGCGTTCGATGACTATCTGCTTGAAGAGAAGGAGCGTTCGTAGAGGACTTTCTAAAGGAAACTGGCTCGTATGCACTTTACACATGGGGAAAACACGAAAACGCCCATGCAGCCATTCCCTTCGCGAGATTCAAACCTCGGACAGAACTACCAGTGTGCTCAGCGACTTTACCGCTTTGCCGCTGGTGGGCCGGGTTTAAATCAGAACTGGAGAAGTTTAAATCTGTCTTTCTGCATGAGATTTTTCATGTTTTTCTATATGTGAATACGAGCCACTTCTTTCAAAAAGTCCTTCATTAAAACATCTCTTCCCATAGCCAGATTATAGCTCTCTCATGCTTCGGTTTAAACTAAGCAATCCTAAACTTACTTAATGCTAATTTCCTTTAGAAAGTTCTTCAGAAAGTGTTCTTCTGTAGAAAGTTAGCCTTTAACGTCCATTGCGATGTTCGATTTATTTTGGATTAGACTGGAGTGGATTAGATTGTGGCAACGCAAATGATGGCTATCTGCCTAAGGGGATGGATGTCTTTTGGGAAGCGGCATATTAAGGGAAACAGTCTCGTATTCGTGTTACACATGAGGAAGTCGTAAAATATTCCACGAAGTTACCCCATTTCACCGAAATTTGAACCCTGATCAATGGTCTTTTTAGTTTGGATATGAAATGTTATGCATTCTTTTAGAATAAGTTGCTTTAGTTATTTATCTCATGTTAGGATTTTTAAACACTGGAAAATTAAATAAAAACAATAAAAAATTCGGAGCTAAAAACAATAAAATGCTCCGGAAGGTAAAAGTGATTCTTTTGCTTCAGAAAAAGAACTGGGAACAAGTAATTAGGCTATCTGCAGACTTAAAAAGGATAATTCAACTTTCTAGCTTGCTAACGTTACTCGGTTGGTAAAGAAAAATCCACTCAAATTAATTATATTTCATCCCTTAAGTAACTCATTTATTTCAGTTATGTGCTGGAGTGAATCTGAAATAGTAAAGAACACAGCACTATGATTTCATTCCATCATTTTGCCACAGGGAATTAGAAAAACTGAATGGCTCGACTGTTGATGAACTGAACTGCTAATTATTTAATAAAATTCTAATAATTTACGTATGCATTGGATATAAAAATTCATGGATGGTAATGTAGGCTTGAGCTAGATATGGGTATTTTTAATTGGACAACTGCCAAATATATAAACAATTCTTCTATAAAAGTTTTTCTTTCATATCTTTGGAAATAGAAAATTGTAAACTAACTCAGAGAATAAATATTAAATAATGTTATTCTACTTCTGTTAAATTCCATGCGAGATTCATTATCATTCGTCAGATATTGTTCTAAAATGTTAGTATAATTCTTACTAGTAAAAATCACTTTTTACCTGTAACTTTGTACATTGCAGATGTTAACTACTCCATAATAATATATAAGTATGTATCTATGGCTTCTTTACTACTAAATTGTTTTTTTTTTTTTTTTTTTTTTTTTTTTTTTACTTTACTGCACTAATTTTAATTTCCAGTTATTGGTACAGGAAGATGACCACTCCCCAGTCAGGCTGACCGCCTGGAGACAGCGACAAGGAAGTCGAACCAAGAGAAGCAAGATCTCCCAGTCGTCGAGTCATGCTCCCAGGTTGGTTCGACGCCTTCAGGGTGGACGGAGGCCCTACTTTATATTCGTATGCAAACAGGACGTCTGTCATCGAAGATATCAGGAATATCCTTATTTATGTCACATTCTCTACCCTCTTCATAGCATTCCTGCTCATCTTTCCTGGAATCCGAAAAGAAGTAAAGTCCTTTTGTTACTATCACGCTATTACTCGAAAAGTTTTTTTAGTTACCTAGAATAGAGGTTACTACTCAAAAAATATCTTCTCATGACATAAAAAATGGTAACGGTGAATGTTTAACTATCATATTTATAAAAGAATTGAGATCTGGCAAGTTGCATAATATTTTAATGCGAGTTTCTTAGAGTTTAATCACTTTCTATACAATGCCTCATACCCCACAAAGAGAAAACTGCATCACAGAAATCGGTTAAAATACCCAAAGGTTTAAACTTCGAAAGATCTTTTATCGGTGTATAACTTATTCTCAAACAAGTGGCATTTGAAATAACAAAGCAAGTTTTTAATTTAGCAAAAATAAAAGTGAAAGAGCTTTTAAATGAAAATGTAGTTATAGGAATAATGCTGAGGCTAGTCCGTTTTCAATCACTTTAAAATGCTTGATTCTTGGATATTTAATAATAATTTTATAAGTGTGGAAAAGTATAATAGGGAAATTATGCATATCTGGGAAAGAGAAATTGGGAGGTAACTTCTTGTTATATTCAGTTTCTGATGTTGATGCTCTTACAAATATTTTTAAATTTATTTCTGCTTAATACAGACCATTTTAATATGAACATACTTTAACAACAGAATGATATCATTTAGTGCAAACAGGACGTAAGTACTAACATTCATAAGCCAGCCCCAGGGACTGAGTAATTAACACGACTGAATAACTGGTAGTTTGATCCAGCGAACGAACTTGGCAGTTTGGGCGTTTTTCGTGGTTTTCCGTACGTCTAAACATAAATTTGAGCCACTTTTTCCGAGAATGTCCTCCACGGAAGCATCCCTTTCCTTAAGTAGGATAGTCCGTTTGTGCTTTCACATAATCACTTAAATTAACAATAAGCCATAATGCATTGTGAGATTAACGTACGCCTTACTTTGAGATGGTTAACTGTAGCAAAGAAGTTAAAAAACACTGAGAACACAATAGTTTTGTCCGAAGATTGAGTCTCAGCGGAACTGACCAGTACCATGGATATTTTGTTCTTTTTCCTCTTACTTAACATTCATACAGGCTATTCACGAAAAGGCCGTTATTTTTGTTATAATCAAATATCAGACGCAGAGCAAATGAAGAGTAAGCTAATGTTTTAACAGAAGAAATACAATTAATTTAAAGAAAACTTAAAATCAAAACATAAAAGTTCAATCCGGAATAAATTTTCTATTAAAATCAAATAAATATATCCTCATTACATAACAAACACTAGTAGAGAAGAAAATCGGATAATGATGTACGTGTATATTTTAAAGAAATTTTTATGCATGTAAAGTAATAAAATTTTATTACCTTACATGCATAAAAATTTGTATGCAAAGTATGCGTGTTTTTAATTTATGTCATTTCTTGTAGTATTTAATACTTCGTTAATTTTATTTAATTTAGCAAAATTCGGTTTTCAGTACTTCAGAATTCAGTGGGAGTTACAAACTCAGCCATGCATTTTCTTAACTTTCGATCACCTGTTTTTATTAAAGTTTTCATTTCTTGCGATGCGAAAAACTTCTAAACAGGGAAAAAAATCGCTCGATTAAATAAATTTTCTATATTCGCAGTTACAAGGCCATCTTTCGTGAAATTGGCAATTTTAATGTTTCATAACAGTTTTTGCATTATTTTGTAACCGTTAAATTGTGTGCTCCCCGATGCCTATTAGCGAACTCCGTATCCGTTCAGGTTCGCCAACAGAGCGCTAGGTGTCCGCCAACAATGTTTGAATTCTTCCCAAGACCTTCGAATGCTATTGCCAAATAATTTCTTTTAACGGTTTATCCTGTTTGCCGAAAAATAACAATCGTCCTTCACTTAAATTAGAAAGAAGTGGAGTAATGATGTTTCCCATGCAGGAAGGATTTAAGAACACCACTGATCTTGTTTTTCTTTGTAAGTTACTGAATAATAAAGATTCTTTGAATTTATTACAAAAGCCATGAGTTAAATAATAGCATATGGGTGTTAGGTTATCCGTAAGTGTAAATGTATCAAAAGTGATCAAATGTAAGATTTCAATAGACTTAAAGCGAAAGTTATCTTTTTCAATCATAGAATGGATATAGAATTTCTACATTTAAGGGCAGATACATGGGGTTGCCAGCTATCCCATTATTAAAAAAAAAACAGATATATGATATAATAACTAGCATATACTAATATCATGTGAAAACGCGTAACTCCTTAAGAAAACACCTCTGAACTGAAAGCTGCCAACCTTTGGATAAAAAAAAAAGCGCTAAATTTAAAAAGGGTTGGGTTTGTGAGAATATGCATTCCATGTTTAAATGCAGTTTTTCTCGAACGAATTTAGGTTAATAATGAATAATACAAACTACAATATCTATTATTTTGTCATTGCAAATTGAAACCAAATAGTTTAAGATAGAATAAATGCTTATTTTAATTAATTTATGCTATAATTTAAACTAGCCTTCGATTGCTGCTTGAGAGTGGTTCTGGAATCAGTACCGGATAAATTTAATAATACTACAACACGAAGATGCACTAAATAAAATTTTAAATTAAATGTTTTCAACTCTCTGTATAACATTCCTGAACACTTGAAGAGTAAAATAATCAGCAAACTCAAGAAAAAAAATTATAATAATTAAATATTCATAATAATGATAATTAAATTGTCTAAATTTAGCTTCTTTCTTGTACTGGCTTATTCAGTTACGAAATTGATTATTTTATTATGTCAAATTAAAAAAGAGCTATTGTTTAAGGGAGAAGAAACCTTTTAGCGGGGGTATTTCTATCGGAAACCGACCAAAAATAAAAACGCATATTAAGAAAATCTCGGTAAATCTATTTAACCATCTTTAAGAAGCCGTGGAAATATTCAAATTCTACCTGCAGGCTCTGATAACTTGAGGCATTTGGCAAAACACTACTGTTTTTCTTAATAATAATTTGTTTTCGAATTTTTCAAGCCTTTATGAGAAGCCCACCGACAGTCAAGCGGTTAAAGCCGCGAAGTGTATAACTAAATGCCTCAATTTATCATAAGTCGCAAATAATAATTTAGGTATTATTTTCTGAAGCCCACCGATAGTCAAGCGGTTAAAGCCGCGAAGTGTGTAACTAAATGCCTCAAGTTATCATAAGTCGCAAATAATAATTTGGATAAAATAATTCATGCAATCTCATCTAATAACTCTTCCATTATTTACATCTAATTCCTCTATAATTAAATCAAACATTCATGGGCAAATTTTAAATTCATACTTATTTAGAACTTAAAACATATATTTGCGTAAAAGTTCATTTAAATAACTTTTACGTTAAGAAAATTTGTGGATAACACAAGTTGTTATTACGTCAATGAATGAGTGAATTAAGACCTCTCAACACCGATAGTTCGACTCGGTTTCAAATCCTGACGAACGGACCAACCTCGCGGACGTAGTTTTCTGTAGAAAATGCCTAAAAGAGGCACCTATTTCCTTAGGGAAATAGCCATGGTATTATTTATCGTAATTAAATAATCCACTCTAATTCATACACACTGCAAACTCCATTAAGACGGATATTGTAAATCATGCAGTTTCAATCATAATTTTAGAGTAGAATATTTTACATGATTTCTGAGTTTAATGTAATTATTAATGAATAGTATTTATTTTATATTCTTGTGTATAAGAGAGTAAAAGAAAATGCTGTTTAAAGCAAAATTTCTAGAGCTAGCAATATGATTATGGTTTTATATACTAAAATATTACCACGAATCATCTTAGATATAATTAAATTTTTGTACTAATCGCTATATAAAAGATAGGTAATGAAGAAAAAATAATTTTACTATCTTTTTATATAAAATTATCAAAGCTAACTACAGAACTGCTGATTATTTTATTTTAAAGTCGCATAGGTTCTATGATTCTGTCTAAGAGAAAGTATTATTATAGCTAGCTCTAACAGAATCTCTTCTTTCTTATCTTAGCAAGAATTTGTTATTAAGTCATATCATTTATTTCATTCATTTTACTTTTAGAGGTTCTCAACATTAATAACAGTAACTACAAGTCTCTTTGTTGGAGCGATTATATTATGTAAGTAGCATTTCCCAGTCTTTTTTATTTCATCATTTTAAGTTAATTGTAAATATCTGTTATGTCATATCTTCTGGAGTCCAGTAACATTAAGAATGGTAGTGTAGTTTCTGATGAGGCCATTTACTGATATCTTTTGAATATTATTTTATTCCAAGCTTTAATTTTTAGTAACTTTATGTAGTAACAGACATTTTAATTCAAATCAGCGTAAATCACTTATTAAAATAAAGAAAAAAAAAAGCTTAATTACATCTTCTTTTGTCACTGGCAGATGCAAGACTTTTTTTTTTTTTAACAGTGGGCACTATTTTGTCTTTTTTTCGACACTAGCCCCTCCAAAGGCCGGAAGTGAGGGCCATTTTATTATGGAGGCACCTAATACGTGGTCACCATTACCTCCTATGAAGGGACGGAGAGTTTCAACTACGCCTTCTCCAGGATTCGAACCCGGATCTTTCGGTATCGTAGTCGGCTTCCCTAACCACTATACCATTTGGGCAACTGGTAGATTCCAAGATGAATTCCATTTAAAACGGAGATTAACTTGTGAAAGTTCGGAAATTTGTCTTCAGATTAAGAGGTCTTGGCCATAGCAGTGCGGTATATTACCTTAATCTGAATAAGAAAACAATTATTATCATTTTTTTTTAATCTGGTATATGGTCTTGGATTATAAAGTTTTTGGCTTATAAAATAAAATTAGGTGAGAACACCTTAGATTGGGTTAGATTTAATAGAAAGTACTATCAGTTTATAGGGTGACTGTCACTCTTCATCATGGACCACTTTCACCTGATTTTACTCTAGTGTGTACTTCTCGAATATATGCTTGGTTTATTCTGGAAGTAATTGGGATACTGTTTGTGTTACAACTACTACCGTGAAAGAAAATCGCTATATTTGCGATGAAGGCTGAAACTGACCGCTGATTGAAAAATTACCCCTACTTAATATCTTGGGTAGACAACTTAACTGTTCCAGTAAGCTGTTTCGCACATTTTTAATTACTGCTTATATCTTTTATTGAGGATAGTTATAAACAAAAGAAACAAATGTTCTAAACTACAACGCCTTTTCTCCACTTCTCTACAACTTTAATGTTGCATTTACAAATATTTTCATCATTAATATGTAGGTGTATTTTCCGATAACTTTCGCGTATTCTTTACGAGGTATTGGGCCGGTATCACCTTCAGCAGTACCTAACAGAATTTATCTACCACTAGTACACTGGGGAAGGGGGGCAGTTGCTTCCTAAATATGGTTCAGAAACCCGTGTTTCCAAATACAGTCATTTAATTTATTCATTTGAAGACATTCATTTAATTCAAATATTTGTTTTTCCTTGTTACCCCTATGGGTACTTTTCCGTTTTGTCGGCGCAAGCGATAAAGTCGCCAATAATGGTATACAACCGATTCCATACGGAATATTCTCGCTGTAGCCTTTTACGCCTCATTTTCAAAACAAGTCGCAGCTTTTTCCTATCAGATTGATTGTTTCTTTCAATACTGGCATAAAATTACATAGAATTTTTATCAGACAGTTCGTTTTTATGTCTAAGGCCATTTTCGGTAATTAAGTCAATTAGGATGCAATCACAGCGCTTACCCGAAGCCGAAAATATAGAAAAGGTAAAGTCAAGGGTTAAATTCATCAATTCTAATGAGAATGCATTAGTGAAGTAAAGCTCTGCAGTTTTACATAATTTCTGAGTAAGCTATTCGTACGCATTGAAATATTTCTTGCATTTAAACTTGTGTTCCAAATTAAGATTTAACTTGAAATTAATGTAGATAATTACTGAGAGCATTAGATTTTTGTAGAGTAGTTTACGTGAGATGAGATCGCTTGGGGTCACGTGATATGAACCGGCGAATCAAGATGTTGAACCATGAAAGCATAGTAAATTCTTAAATTAATGTCTTTTAACAAATTTATTGTCTTTATTTATTGGCTTTTTTATGAAATTTTAAGCGATATTAAAATGTTTATGCCTTCAAAAAAAGAATTCTTAGAACTAACATTTTTTAAATATTTTTTATGTGTATGTTGTCGCCAATAAAGTCTGCTTGGCGAGATTTGCGCCGGCGAAACGGAAAAGTACCCTCCTATGAAATTATTCTCAGTCAACCCTGATTAGAAAGTTTTCTCGCAATTAACATTTACCATAATCAGTTATCTCCAGAGCTTTCTAAATTCTTTTTACCGAATATCATTAATAAGATGTCTAAAGCTTAACGCGCAGTACATTATAGCTGATGGACCTACATATGATAGTTGCAATAAAAGCCAGAATTAAATAAGCTGAATTTTTTAAAGTTTATTTAAATCTTCGAGATTTTAAATATTCAAAAAAATATTCTGTTTTACTCTAAATCCCTACCGAAAATGTTAGTTCTTTACTGTTTGCATATTGGAATACTAATTTAAGTTAATCGGTGCTTTTATTAGTTTAATCTTATATTTAATATAAATACCTTGTTCATAATATTTTGATATTGATATAAGCTTATTTTTGGAATGAATTCAAAAGAAATTTCATTTAACATTTGGTATTAAAAAATTATTAAAATATTATTTCAGATTAATCTGCTTCATTGACTTGAAAATAAAAGAATTAAAATAATGTTGTTCTTTATTTACGTTGTAATGCTCAATTATTTATGTTGTAAGTAAGTTTGTTATGAATAAATTTATCATAATTGGCAAGGCAGATCTTGAATCAACATAACGTTTTAGCAAGCGCTTCACTGCTTCTTCCGTGTTTCTATGCATTTCGTGTTACAGTATGTGTTTATGATTTTTAGAATAACTTATTACGTATTTTAAAACTTCCCTTCATGGTCCAGTAATTCTGCGAAAAACGTATAAGACTGTATCTCATACGTTCCTATGAGACTGTACCTCTATTATCTATTGTTCAGATGCTTATAAGACTATATATAAACAATAGATAATAATTTTCAGATGCATAAACATTAAATTTGAAACCATGAGGAACAAGTCTGAACCACGAATATGCAAATCGATGTTTCAAGAAAAGCGTGTTTAAATATTTGACCCGAATTTGGTTTTGTACAAAATCGAGTTAGGTTACTAGTTCTTTTACAGTCATCCAATAACATATGCATCTTTTTTTATAGCATAGTGAAAGAAAATCTCCGAAGAAAATGTATGCAATTGAAATAAGTGAAAAAAAAAATACAGATTCGAGCTTTTGACGTGATTCAGATTACATTGTTAGTGCATTAAAGTAATACTACCTGCATAAAAATTCAATATAAATTTTGAAAAGCCTACTAAAGTGTAATATTTCATTAAATTTGAGTAGAAAATATAATTTTAATTTAGAGAACTTTAATAAGGTAATGAAAATCAGTTATGCTTGTCTATTAGCCGAGTGCAAATGTTCTTTATGAGCTCGCATTTATTGCCATTGTCGAGAACTAAAAAGTCGTTAACTTGATAAATCTGTTAAAATATAGGTAGTGCGAAAAACAGCTTTATGTATTCAGCAGCATCGTAATAGACTGGAATACTTAAATATAGAAGGGTTTATATACCTTAAATTAAAAGAAGCATCTTGGAGAAAGAGGTTAAATATCCAAAAATATCGTCTAATTGGACGAAAGCTTGATTATAAACGTAATTGACATAAAACGTAAACTATCTATCTTCCGCAACAACGGATATTCGGTGATACCTGCTAAGAAATTAGCGACTACTTTCTTCAAGTACCTAATGGTTCAATTAAAATATGCATAATATACTCAGATTCTTGAAAATTTGCCTTACAAACACAAAAATGGTAGAATTTGAGGAATTCAGAGCCAGTGATAAATACCGTTCATAGATCCAAAAATTTGTACTGCGCCCTTGTTTTTGAGACTGCCATTATCGAGTAAATAAGACCCATAGTCAAAAACACCTTGCAAACAGCATTCACGGAACAACACTCCCGCTAATGTAATTAATTTGCAAGGTGTTTCGATCTTATCCTCAACCCAGTTTGTAATACGAGCAAATCCTTCAAGAAGACATCCCACCCCTTAGACCAGCGGTTCTCAACCCTTTGACTAACGCGTACCATCTAAACGAAAATTAAAAACCTTTAGTACCACCACTATAAAGTGCTACTATCACCACAACTCTTTAACAATTCTCAGATCCCATAAATTTATGGGTGTTAAAGAAAAACTCAGGATGTTGGGGTTTTAATTTTTGAATTTAATAGTTGAAAATACTTTGCTTCTTTGCATACCACCTATTTTTCTCTTGCGTACCACCAGTGATGCACGCACCACCGGCCCCTGCCTTAGACAGATTACTTCGCGTATTGACAGAACAAATAAAATAAACCTGTTTAACATGGGCACCACGAAATCATTTAACAATTCGTTGATAAATAAGTAAATAACTATTACATTATTTTAGTTTTAAACATCGGAAATATATGAAAAGCAGTAGAAAAATTTTCTGTATTTTATATTAAAATTCAAGTCGAAATCAGTTGAACCACAAATCAATTAAATTTCATTTTGGCTGCTATAATTTATTGAACAGCTCAGTTCACTCAGATATATTAAGAGATACTTTCGAATTTTAAGTAATCAAATGATAAAAAAAAAGTCTAGACCATTCTTAAAAATTGCTTTGCGTTAAATTTACATAGAGCACAGAGAGCCATATTCTTTATTTTTTTTGAAATAAATAAACAAATTTTAGAACAGACATTCTTAAACCTAACGAAGAATCTCGTAAAATAGTCAATTTTTAAATATTGTGTCTAATATTTGTCAGCTGTAAAGTTGTGTATTAACAGAAATGGTTGGCTTATGGCTTATGGTTACTTTTGGCTTATGACAACTGTTAAAAATTTAGCTACAAAAACGAAGAGAATCGAAATTTTAGAAGTGGCTATTTTTTAGTGCAGTTAAAGTGCATGTCTTTTATTATAAAATGGAAGAAATATAAAGATGAATAAAAATGACATA